TTCTGGATAACCACAGGAACACAGAGAGAGAGAGAGAGAGAGAGAGAGAGAGAGAGAGAGAGAGAGAGAACCTCCTTTCTTTCGGTGAAAGATTAGGTTCTTAGTGGATCGAGTGACTCAACCCACTGGGCAGAGAAGAAGGCGGATTTTGGACGGATTAATTTTCGGTTAGGGTAACTGGAGATGCGGCCAACGCGATGATCTGCTTAGGTTTCCTATGTTTAAATTTTTATTTACTGTCAATTGATGACGCGGCTTATGCCACGCTGTGGCTTAATTTACACCGATCGACTAGCTGGCAATGGTTTATTCGATCGGTCGATTTAGCACGTGGAGGATGTTGATTTCCCTCTGCGTACGTTGGTTGGAGAGAGAGAGAGAGAGAGAGAGAGAGAATATCGTTCGCATTACAGTTCATTTCGACTGACGTTAAATTTAATATTATTATTTTGAACGTGAGCTAACAGAAATCTGTGCAATCCAAAGTTGATGAACAATATGCAGTTTGTGGGATTAATTTCCACGTTCATATCGACGTCACTATCTCTTTGCAGGCGCGGAGATCGGCGCGCTGTCCATGCAATTCTCTTTCAAGGTGTATGAATTTTTTGTAGGCTGTAATTCTCGTGGAGTGCTTGCAGTAGCTCTTTATGTCAGGGCGGTCTGTATCGGCGCGCTGTAAGTCGGCGCGCTTTATAACGGGATGGGGTTATGTTAATTTTGTATGGCCGTACTCTTGGAGTGCTGGCGATGGGTGTTATATATATGGACAGGTAGTATGGGCCTCGCTCCACTGTTCACATGCACAGGACAAAAATCATGGCTCTGTATCTTTCCATGTTCTAGCGGAAGATTCACTCTCAATTTTTTTTTTTAACGAGTAGTGGAGCGAGCGGCCCTTCGTTATGTTTTCACAAGTCTGGAGATATCTGATGGGTGCTATATAGCGAGTCGTATAGAGGAATGGGGTGCTTGGCTCTTTGTCTGTGTTAAATGTAGGTAGGGGTATGATTATGAACGGGATTGACGGCGCGCAGAGTGATAACGGGTGGAGGATGACACGCGGGTGCGAGGGAGTGGTGGAGGGCGAACAGGGATGTGTGGTTTGTCGGCCCGGAGTGATATCTTCTAGATGACGCCGAAGTGGTGTGACGGCCCGGAATAGCGACGTGCAGAGTTGGAATGGCGACGTGACAGAATAGGAATGATGACGTGGCGGGAATGTATACTGAATAGAACTGGTGCACGTGTGTATATGCAATCTAAGAAAAGTGACAGAATAGTACCGGTGACGTGGCGGGAATGCCTACCGAATAGGAATGCTGACGTGGTGGGAGTGCATACGGAATAGGAATGATGACGTGGCGGGAGTGCATACGGAATAGGAATGGTTATCTGGCGCGAATGCATACAGAAAAGGAATGGTTATCTGGCGGGAATGCATACAGAATAGGAACATACAGAATAGGACTTGGAAAAGGAGGAGAGGTGTTGAGGCGCGCACGGGTGCAATTCCTGTCGAGAGCTGAATTCTTCCGGGGGAGAGTAGCCGAGTGGTTAAAGGGCAAGGGTGCCATTGCTGCAGTTGAACGGGTTCGGGAACGTAGGATTACGGGAAAGGGCACGGGTTCAAATCCTTCCTCCGAATTGCTCGGGACCAGGCGAACGGAGTGTTTTGGGAGTTTTGCGAGTTTTTCATTTGAAGCAGTGTTATTAGATTTAAGTACGAGTAAAAAGAAAAAAGAAAAGATTTTTCGGTTTTGGAATTGAGAGATTAGGGACTCAGTGAAGGAAGACGGGCAAGGGAAGGAAGAAGAGAACATTTGCGAGCAATACTTTACTTTGATTTCATAAAGTTTCCATTGGCCCTCGCTCCACTACTCATCACATGCACAAAAGACTCATTCTCGATGTATCTTTCGATGTTCTAGCGGAAGAAGATTCATTCGATGTACTAGCGGAAGAATATTCATTCTCGATGTGCACATTTGGTGGCTAGTAGAGCGAGGTGTATGTGGAGCTGATTCACGACAAAGGGAAGAAAAATGCAGCTGATTCACGACAAAGGAAAGAAAATTTCAGCTGATTCACGACAAAGGAAAGAAAAATTCAGCTGATTCACGGCAAAGGAAAAAAAAATTCAGCTGATTCACGACAAAGGAAAAAAAAATTCAGCTGATTCACGACAAAGGGGGGGAAAACTAACGAGTACACGATAATATTCTTCTGCAGGAGAACGGCGGACGCTCGATAAGGCTCTCCTTGAGAGAGGTACCGGCCGACGCTCGATATGGAGAGGTGGTTTTAACTCGAATACCACGCATTCTGATCGTGAATCTAAATACCACAGCTGTTTCCGATCCGAAACAGCCGGGGGAGGGGGGATGCGTTGTATTCGAAAACAGTTACAAGGGGAAGATGGGTCAGGGTGCTCTTGTATACAACCGAAAGTTTTTGTTGGTTCAGTACACCCCCCCTACCTCCCCCTTCCCCCCTCTACCTCCCCCCCCGCCTTTGCTGGAGTTGACCATGATGTAACCAGTGTTTGACTCCCCGACTGGGTAACCAGTCCGGTCTGGGTCAAGCCAGGACTCGACTGGTTGGACTCGCATGATGCAATCCTGGTTTTCTGTCGATCTGGTGAACCAGTTTTTGACCGGGCTAACCAGCGTTTGACCGGAGCGGGTAAATTGGGATCTGGTCAAACGAGGAGTTGACTGGTTGAACCAGGTTGTAATTCTGGCGGCGTTCTTTCGATGGGCTGAACGAGGTTTTGACCGGGTGAACCAGTGTTTTGACCCGATCGAGTAAACGATGATCTGGTCAAACCAGGAGTTAACTGGTTGAGCCATGTCGGACTGGTGAATCAGTATTTGATCGGAACGGGTGAACCATGACTCGACCTGGTAAACCAAGATCCGATCACCCCAGGATTTTATTGGTTGAACTGGGGTGTAATTCTGGCCTTGTCTTAATTTCGTGAACCAGGTTTTCACTGGGTAAGCCAGTATTTGACCGCATCGGGTAAACCATGATCTGGTTGAACCAGGAGTTGATTCTGTATTTGACCCGACAAGGTAAACCAGCATTTGACCAGATTGGTCGAGCCAGTATTGACCAGACCGGGTGAACCATGATTTGGGTCAACCAGGATCCGGTCCCACCATGATTTGACTGGTTGAGCCCCGATGGAAGTCCCTCATGTTCTTTATTGACGTGTGGCATGGCTGCGAGTCTTAAGCCCAGCAAAGTACGGTCCCACCAGAACCTTAAGCCCAGCAAAGTACGGTCCCACCGGAACATAACCTGTACCAGACCAGAAAGGCTGGCGGCACCAGCCAAAAGAAAGCGAAATGCATGGAGGCTGACGGTGGTAGCCAAAAAACGATCGCTTGGTGCGCAGTTTTACCCTGTCAAATTGGGGAAAAAGACGCTCGGAGGTAGTGGTGGTTCAAAACAAAATTTGGGGAAGGTTGCAGGATCGTATCCCGCCCCAGTTCTACTCCGTCTGGGCAAAAAGATGCTCCGTTAAAATTGGAACGATCTAGAGTAGATTAGCATGGCCCCTGCGTAAGGATGACACGCATAAATCGAGAAATGGTCCAAATTTTTGCCGTTGGGCCGGAATAGTACTGGGATGGGTGACTTCCTGGGAAGTCCCGGTGAAAAAAAAAAAAAAAAAAAAAAAAAAAAAAAAAAAAAAAAGAGCAGCTCTCAGGTAGTGGTGGGCAGCAACGAGACGCTTGAAGGTAGTGTGGTGATTTAAGAGAAAATCGGGGCTGGTTGAAGGTTCGAATCCCCGTGCCCCAGCATTAATTGTCGATGACGGTGAGTGCATGCCCGATCATGACACCCCCGTCGTTCCCACCTCAGGGTAAGGGATGCGTTATATTGTTGATACTCTAGGCCACGGTGCTTTTTCAGGAACATGAATGAGAGGGGTTTCCCTGAATATCATTTCGCTTCTGGTTTAAGTATATCGTTTGAATTGAATATCATTTCACTTCTGGTTTAAGTATATCGTTCGAATTGTCTGAAAGAGGGAAATGGGATTGGTTATGGCAAGAATTGTTCTGTGCAGTCTTAAAGAGGGAAATGTGTCTTGAAATAATGTTTGCCTCTCCCCATCGTTCGTGGTGTTTAGTGTACGCCTTTATTTATAGGAGTGAAAGGACACATGAGATGTTCATTATCGCCGGGCGTGTAGATCAGACATTTGTTCCATTGTTTCCATCTGGATTCGAGCTCACATCTGTATTTCAGCCGCTCATGGGGTGTACCAACTGACCTAGGACCGTTGGCTCTTTATGATTTGTTTCGTTTCTCACCCTACTATGATTCCCCTCACCCTTCTTTGCCTATCCTCTCACCCATTTTGATTTTAAAACAGAAAAAAAATTGTCGCTGTTTCCTGTGTTCCTCCCGTTTTAATCATATATGACAATTGATCCCGGATATGTGGTTTGAACTGCTTGGCTGTGGGACTTGTGGCGACTTCCATCGTTTGGTTATGATCTGTGCGTGTGTGTTTTATTTTTTGAATGATCGCTGTTTTTTTCCCAAGTCAAACAAAGATTGAAAATAATTGATTCTCGGTACCTGCAGTTACCTGGATTGGTTTCTGGGTACTGCAAGTCAAGTGAAAAGTGGAGCGAATTTCCCCCCCCCCCCCCCCTTTTCCTTTGGTCCTCTGTTTTGACAGGGGTGTTTGGCTTGGATTCCTGCAGTTGCGAAAAGCAGCACCCTGCTGGATGACAATCGATCCTGGCTCGGTTGAAGGACGCAGGTGGTTGACTTCCGTCTTTTTTGGTTACAATTTCTGTTTTTTTTTGTGCAAGTCGAAGAATTTTTTTTTTTGCAAGTCGAAGAAAAATTGAAGGACGTTTTGATGGACTGGATGTGTGTCTGGCTTGGATTCCTGCAGTTACCAGCGATGACTCGCTATTCAATCTGGCGCATCAGGAGTACAAAAATAGGCATTATGCAGAGGCACTCCAATTCTGCCTGCGCGTGTATGAGCACAGTCCGAAGAGAACGGATGTGCTGCTGCTCCTTGGAGCCATCTACTACCAGGTATGTCTCATCTGCTTTCAGGTCTGTGATGAATCAGCGGAGGATGAGACTGGACGTTTGTGGTGGTTGCAATTTTCGTCATTCGATAAGTGTTGTGGCTTGCGCTGACCGAGCCTGCGTTGGAGGGATTTTTCACATTCTGAAATGTAGACTGAAATGTGGACAACGAGTTGCTGAAGTACTTGATCTTTGCGTTCTGCTAGTGTGAAATGATAAACGATGACTGAACGTATGGGGGGGGGTTCACTAATTGTTCCGCTCGTTCACATGTATTGTTGTTGAGTAAAAGAGAGAGCAATGAAGGACTCCGATGCTAGTTATGGATGGACTCCTGCCTGCCCCTAGTCGCCCCTTGGCTAGAAAAGACGGAAAAGAGAATTGAACTCCCAAACACGTGTTTGTGTTTGGGTGCTATACGTGAAAAAGCATTCTCGTGTTAATCACCAGTGAAGTGTTTCACTTGTTCACATGTATTGTTAAGTAAAACAGAGAGCAATGAAGGACACCGATGCGAGTTATGGATGGACTCCTGCCTGCCCCTAGTCGCCTCTTGGTTAGAAAAGACGGAAAAGAGAATTGAACTCCCAAACGCGTGTTTGTGTTTGGGTGCTATACGTGAAAAAGTATTCTCGTGTTAATCACCAGTGAAGTGTTTCACTCGTTCACATGTATTGTTAAGTAAAACGGAGAGCAATGAAGGACACCGATGCTAGTTATGGATGGACTCCTGCCTGCCCCTAGTCGCCTCTTGGCTAGAAAAGACGGAAAAGAGAATTGAACTCCCAAATGTGTGTTTCAGTGTTTGGGTGAAAAGCATTCTCGTGTTGATCACCAGTGACGCACACAGGAGCACTGGTTAAGGCTGGTTCATCTGTTTGTATGAACGGATGGCAATGCCACTGAATAAGGATTGGACATCTGTTGTATGAACTGTTGCATCTTTTACCCCCCTCCCCTTCCCCGCCCTCCCCTTTTCTGCTTGGACATTCTTATTTTTTGGTTCTTCCTTTTAAGCGAACTCTGGATGTTGTTCGAATGGTTGCAGCTCCAACAATATGACCAATGCATTGCCAAGAATGATGAAGCTATTCGGCTTGACCCGAGGTTCGCCGAGTGCTATGGGAACAAGGCCAATGCGCTCAAGGTGAGTGGAACAGCCCTCATGAAGGCAGGGACTCAGAACTCGGTGCTCTGTATAGCTTCCTACTTGGTGCTATATGTTGATTTTAATTGTTTGATTGACGAGAACAGGGATGTCATTCAGCCTAGAGTCCAAAGAAGCTGAAGTGAATGGGAGGCAGAGCCAGAGAAGTGATTGCTGAATTGTTGTTCTGTTTGTTATTGTGGTGTATTAGTGCAGTTTCTGTTGTTTTTTTCAGAGCGGGAACCTGTGCCGGAAGAATGTGACCTCTCTCTCTCTCTCTCTCTCACTCTCCCCGTTTTCATCCCACTGTTGTGGTTCGTCTGGCATATTCATTGATAGATCTGCTCTGACATGGAAGATGGGCATGGCAGACGGGGTTGGTGGATATTTGTCCGGTCTCATGCCTCGTCTAGTTGGTGATGAGGGTGTGTTCTGATTGGGTGTTTGGGTGTAGGGTGTTGTGTGTGTGAATACAACATCTGAGTGTCTATGGACTTGCATCGTAGTTGCACAACGCACTACCTTGTATTTGAATACTGCACAGAATGTTCTGTACTCAAGTTCAGGCTCTCTCCTGTGCGTGAATGGTATGAAGCATGTGTTACGTTTGACTTTTTGGTGCAGTCCATTTGAGTACCCTACATGGCCTGCCTAAATGCCCTGCGCAGAGATTTTTTTTTCTTAATGTAGTTAAAGAAGTATATATATCAGGGAAGCCTAAATGCGAGTGCACTAAGAGTATAATTTAACTTGGGAAGTATATGTAACAGAGCAATCACACTAAGACTAAGAGTCTAAGAGTATAAATGAAAGAGTGAAATGAAGAGTAGCTTTCTGGAAACGTTGCTGTGAATACTGCACGGGGTGTGCTGTAATTGACTTCAGGGTGTCCTGTGCCTGAATGCTATGGGGCGTGTTATGCACTTTGAGTTGAGGAGCAAGGGGTGTGCTGTAATTGACTTCAGGGTGTCCTGTGCCTGAATGCTATGGGGTGTGTTATGCACTTTGAGTTGAGGAGTGCCATTTACTTGAATACCACCTGGGGCTCGAGTTGGAGGGCCATGTACCTGTACTACCTGGGTGTCTATCGTCGACCTGGGCTGTCTATCCTTGACCGGGTCTGGGGCTCGAGTTGGAGGGCCATTTACTAGGCGTGTTACTGTGGGAGGTGAAAGTTATGATCCTCGTTGGGGTAAATGGATAGGGGTGCATTGATGTGTACTGGTATTGGAGCTGAAAGGTACAATTCAGGGGTTGAGGGTTGGGCAGGGGTAATAGTAAATGGACACAGGTGCATTGCTGAAATGTTGTGTTTTCATTGGGGTATTTGTTGGTTCAACTCTGGAGAGTCGGTCAGCGAGGGGGGAAGGAGATTGTTATTCTGCTTTTTCCTTTTACATTTCCCGCGGAGAGATTGTTCCCTTGGATTGGAAGGGATGTGATTGCCTGGTATCCATCATTCGGTTGTCGTGAGACTCAGTTGGAGACAATTCTATATAGTTCATTCTCCGTAGGTACTTTTCTACCTGGGGAAATCTCTGTCACCTCTGGAGAACCTGTGAGGCGAAGGCGCCCGTATCTATTAAATCTCTGTCACCACTGGAGAGCCTGTGAGGACCATAGGAGAACCTGTGAGGACCATAAAGGGGCCTGTCTGGAGGAAGCCTATACTGTGGGAATCTCCCTTCTGAGATCCCTCCCATAACCCAGATGTTGCGCCCGAGGATTGGAAGCGGACTATCTGCATCAGGTGTTGGGCTCATAGACCCAGAATTATTGTGCTTTAGCAGTTTGTGAGCGATATTGATAGCAATGTTGGTAGCACTTTGTAACCCATAATAAATAAATGATGCTGATTTTCTTGTGCGTGCAGGAGAAAGGCGATGTTGATCTTGCCATCCATTTTTACCTGACAGCCATTCAGGTGAGGAGAGCTCCCGCATAAGGTCCCTATTGATGTCTCTATGAGTGCAATTTTTCAGTGATTGTGCACGCATGGGTGTGTATTGTTAAAATTTTTCAGTGATTATAAGGTCCCTGTTGATGTCTCCCTTGTAAGGTTTCTTTCTTCGCAAGGTTTCTGAAATCCTCTCTCTCCCTTTTCTTCCTGTATGTCTTAGAATTGTATATGACTCTATTGAGCTGCTTGCAGTTTGCACGCATGCGTGTGTATTGTTAAAATTGTAACTATTGACGTTCTTTTTTGTGTACATTTTTTGAGTCATGACTTGATGAGTACATTTTTTTCAGTGATCTTGCTGGATGTGGCTGCTGAACTCCTGCCTACTTTTTCTCTCTACCATTGTTGTTAAGATTGTAGCGATCGTCGAAACGTGTGAATTGGCTGCGTGTGTATTGTTTACTACCGCCTCATCGATGATGATGTTATGGACGACTGTGATGCCTGGTCTGGTGTCTGAACCACTGCCTGCAGTTGCTGAAGACATGAGGGCTTGTTTGCTGGTGCGTGATGCGGCTTGTGTACTCTTTTGCAGCTGCGCCCTGCATTCTGTGATGCCTGGTCGAATCTGGCGAGCGCGTATATGCGGAAGGGCATGCTCCAGCAGGCAGCGGATTGCTGTCAGCGTGCTTTGCAACTTAATCCAAATCTGGTAAGGCATCGTAGACCCTTACTGATTGACACGAGCGCGATGAGCCCAGAACCTTGCATCCTAATCACACATGAGACCAGAAAACTCTAAAACCTGATTTTGAAATGAGATGCATGACATTCGCTCTGCATCCGCAGGAACTCCTCAGTTGTAACCTCAGTAGTGTGTCATAATTCACCACCTGTTACCACTATGGTAGGCCTATTTCAAAAGTTGATGATAGGGGCAGAAATTTGGAATCTGACCGTGTTTCCTCATTTTGCTAATCTCTAGCATCTCTCCTCATTCTGATCGATATTTCCTCTTGAGTCTCCACTCGTTCTTTACCACAAGGAACTTATCAGTTGACATATTGGCATGGCGTCATCATCTGAGCCTGTCAATCTCTCCTCTCTCCTACGCTTCCAGATGAGAGGCACTGTCACTTACAACATAGCCGACCTAAGGCCAGCGCAAACAATACAATTGGAAATGAGAATGCCAATGGTCTCGAGGATTCGTGGAATATGTTAACATCAATCATTAAGATCAGCAGCATGTAAGCTTCTTTTTTTCCAAGTGGCCTATACCCCTCCTCCTTGCCTGCTTTCCCTCCGATATTTGTGATGACTCGTGTCGCTCCTGCAATGTGCTTGTGACTTAAAGCACCAGTACATGGCCCCAGCGAAGTTGAGTATCCTATTGAGCCTATGCTAAAATTGTGGAGTCTTGCGCACGTTTGATAAAATACATCAACAGCGGGCGGCCTCTGATAAAGGGGTCCATGACCGATGTATGGCATGTGCTGGTGGCTTAATGCACCAAGCAGAATGTATGAAGACTAAGCTGGAGACTGATGTATATATTATGTAACCGTCCTTTCTGCGTTCATGGTCCTGACGGAGGGCTGAGATCTGTTTGCATGCAGGTGCCTGGCGGCATGAGGTGAAGTTTCTGCCTGGAAAGCTTCAGGTTGAGATGGTGTTGGAGCACCTCTGGCATTACGTATGGTGTGGGATCGTTGCTGTTTGCCTATGGATTTTGTGCAGTGTTCTTTTATTGTGGTCTTGTTATTATTGTGACCTTGTTGCTGTTGTGGGCTCGACTCGAGTCTCTTTTCCATTCAACTGTGTCATTTGTTTCCAGCAACTTTATATTGTGGCATTTTTTTTTTTCTTTCTTCTTCTGTGGATGCATTTTGGCTCACTCGCGGGATCTTCTTTGTTCTTGGTTGCTAGGTTGATGCTCACAGCAATCTTGGAAACCTCTTGAAAGCGCAGGGCCTCCCACAGCATGTGAGTATCTTCGTGCGTAAGCCGAACGGGTCTGTGAATGAAGTTATCTGAATGGTGTCTGGATGGAGATTTCAACGCCTATTCGGTCTGTGTTTGGTTAGTATCGTGAAGTTTGAAGTCGAAGGTGAAGTACAATAACAACGAGTCTGGATGATAGAATTTGTTTGAAGCTTTAGACTGTGGCCGAGGAACGGGTTGGTGGATGGCTGTCTCAAACAGCTGATGGATACGTTTGGATGGTGCTGTACTTAAGATGTGTCATCAGAGTTCATTGGATCTGTTGAAGGGAAATAACCATTGGGAGGTGACCAGTCTTGGTTCGTTATTTATGTTCAATATTTTCCCGTAATGGTGCCAGTGAGGACGAGCTGTGTTTTCTCCGAACCATTTTTCGATTTGAGCATGTCATCCTTTTGCGCGGCCATGCTAAGCTTCTTGGTATCGATACAGTTTTAACGGATGTCCCAAAGGACATGTACTTTTCCTGCCGCTTTCTCTCGAAGAGAGAATTTGGGGGGTGGCTGCTCGTAGAGACGGGTGGAAAGCTGACTAAGGTAAAAGTGCCATATGACGGTGTGCAGATTCTGGAGAAGTTAGTTGGACAGCGATTGTGCAGAGCAATGTTGTATGTTTTGGTGCATACTCGTACTAGAATTCTTTCCTAAAGGCATCTGCCCGTAGTTTCGGCCACACCTGGATTTCTCGGACTGCAATTTGGACTGCAATTTGTCCTGATATCTGCAGAGAATGTTCTACTGTGAATGTGCTTATTCTGTGTGTTGAAGGACATTGTGGCGTTCTGTACAAGGTAGATGCATGGTATGATTTCCCTGTGTTTTCAATTAATGTTATTCGTTGATGGTCGGTGGGGTGTGGACATCTGCGGAAAATGTCCTGCTGTGAGTATGCTTATTCTGTAGACGATGGCTTCTAATGTTTAACCCATGGTGTAAATTGCGGCGTCTTTTATGGTGGTTGCAGGCATATTATTGCTATATGAAGGCACTTACTATCCAGCCAGACTTTGCAATTGCATGGTCGAACCTGGGGGGCCTATTCATGGAAGCTATGGATTTTCAGGCGGCCCTCGGGTATTACAAGGTTTGAGATACACAGATACCTGGCAACCAAATGTTTTTTGCCACGTTCTTGTTATCGAAGCCTCACTAGACTGTGGCTGCACAAGGCTCAATCTTGCAGTTGCTTCTGGTTGTTGTCTACCTCTGCATCTGTGTGTGTGTGTGTGTGTGTGTGTGTGTGTGTGTGTGTGTGTGTGTGTGTGAGAGAGAGAGAGAGAGAGAGAGAGAGAGTTGGCGGAAGGATCACATGAGAGAGAGAGAGAGAGAGAGAGAGAGAGAGAGTTGGCGGAAGGATCACATTTTGGTATCTGCCAGATCAAGACCTCTTTGCCGGATGCTTAGCCTTATGTCCTAATCGCCACAGGGATTGAGTCCTTTTCGCAGAAGGTTCTGGATCTCAAATGGTTATAGGGAATGCGATTTTGCTCCAAATTATAGCAGTAAAGAAAAGTACTAGACTTTTGGAGTTGGATTCTGATGTTGGTGCCCATTGTAACTCCTGTGCAGGAGGCGATTCGCCTGAAGCCCGATTTCGCTGATGCACACCTGAATCAAGGGAATGTCTTGAAGGTAATGTCTGGGTGTGGAATTATCAAATTTACTTTTCTCGTCCCATGGTGGGCCCTTGATGGTTGCCCTCTCTCATGGCGCAATGGGGGAATACTGCTGTCTAGTGCATGTCGCATGATGTGTGGTTGAGCCATGTCTCCATTGTTGTCTTCTGCGCGATGTTTTTTGTGGTTGAACCGTTGAACCAACAAGAGGGAGGAAGTTTCAGTGGTGGTGATGGTGGGGGGTGGGACGGGGCTCATGGTGCTGCAAGGCAATGATGTCACATGCATAGTGATGGCTCATGGTAGCGTGTGGGTTGAAGGCCAGTGTGGGTGACTGACAAAGCATGAAGAAGAAACAGTGGGTAATTGAGAACAAGGGCCACCGATTTAGATGGGCTTTCAATTTAATCAATCAAAGCCTCGCCAACGTCACTCCCATTGCCCATGGTGGCCAAAAGCGCATCCAACTCACACCAATTGGAGCAACTCGATGTGGACCGCAGCATGTGGGAAAAGAGCAGAGAGGGCTCGCGAGCTATTCGGTCTATGGTATGGTGAGGTTGGTGGATCCCGACGAAGCATAAGGGCAAGTGGTAATGAGAGAAGTTGGTTTTGAGTATGGATCCAGCTTGTTTGCCAGTGCACGAGACAACGGAATAAGGAAATGGGATGGTGTAGGTGGATGCTGTCATGAAATTGAGGGGGCATGTGGGCCACACTGACACTGTCGAGTTGTCGGGGTTGGAGGTGGATGGCGAGCAAAAGCTGGAAATATTTAAATGCATATGCATGAAGCCTGTCTCCCTTTTTAGTATTCTGCTTTGGGAGCATGCCATGTGCATGACTTGAAGGGAAAAAATGGGGGGTCTGAGTAGTCTAGAGTCTAAAATTATGTAATGGAGTTGTCTTGACCGTCCATGGGCTGAAAAACAAGGCAGGTGAGAGTAGCAAAGCTTGTGTCAACTGGATGCTGTGGAGTAATACTTTCTACAGCCCATAAGATGAGAGATGTGTGCAACGGGTGATTGGGAAGGCAATCTGTGGTCTGTATTGCCAAAACGGGCTTCGGAGAGTGATACTAAATTGAAAGTGAAAATGGGCTATCGGAAAGTGAAAATGGCCTATCGATTAGTAAAAATGGGCAAGACAATCTATGATCCGTATTGTCAAAAAATGATTGAAAAGTGAGAATGGGTGTTGTCACTAGTTGTGAAATGTGGCGACAGAAGCCCGGAGTGATTTGCATGGCTTGAATGGCGTCCAGGGGAATTGAGTGGTCTGGAATCCAATGGCATGATGCACTATTTGTCTGTTGCGGATTCAGAAAACAATCTGAGGCAGAATCACCGACAGTCGATTGTAGTGCATGTGGGCCCCTCTTGCAGCACCGGTCAAATGTGAAAAATTACAAATTGCCTTTTTTCACAATTGGTGAGTGGTGCTGCGCGTAACTGTTTTGCAATCCTGCACTTCCGTATGAGTAGCTCAGTTGGTACACCCGTAAGCTGTCGAGATACAGACGGCACTTTGAATTCTGATGGACCGGCAAACTGGGTAGCACAGAAAGAGACACATCGAGACTCGTCTGGAAACTCGCAGAAGGCCAACATCGAGCGAGTGTGGCCACCTCATTGGAGCCCACCGGCGTGCAGGGACCCGGCATCAGCCTAAACTCGGCATAAGGGGTCAGGGTTCAGGCCTTTTCCTTTTTAATTAAGAACCCATGCTCCTAGATGAATTTAATGAAACAATCCTGCACTTCCGTATGCGTAGCTTAGTTGGTACACCAGTAAACTGTTAAAATGTAGACCCCAGTTAAAATGTAGACCCCAGTTCGGATCCTGATGGCCCTAGATGAATGTTATGAAATAATTCTAACTTGTGTGTCCGGTGTCGGGTTATAACTCAATTGCCAAGGTTACAACATACCTCCTCTTGTGCAAGTTGATCTTGGGGCCATGATTGTGTTTCTGATGAGTCAGAATGGAAGTCTGCTGTGCCATCTCTCGCAAGGAGAGTTTTTGTTGCTCCCATTGAGAGATTTCGTCACTGTTTGGTTTTCTATTTGAGGAAGCGTTATCTGAGGGCTGTCTTTTCCTTTCTGAGTATTTTGTGTGCAGGCCTTGGGTCAACCTCAGGAAGCAATAGCATGCTATCAGCGAGCTCTTGAACTGCGACCGGACTTTGCGATTGCATATGGTGAGTTGACTTGAAGGTTAAAATAGAGTAGAAACGTTTCTACTCGGATGAATTTGGGCACTCCTGTAGTGGCTCGTACGTTTCCTAAAGTTGTGGCTTGTTAACGGTCACGGCTGTAGGAAGTACTGGTGGTTTAACGTTAAAATGAAATGGTGGTATATGGAATAAAATCACAAGGCAGCGAGGGGTTTGCTGCTGGCTTCAGCCATCTGCAAACCTGACGTGGGTGGTGGCGTATTACTAGGGGAGAACCAAGCCAGCACCAGGCAATCCCCGTTTCCCAGAGCCATCCTGATGTCCAGTCTGCGAACCTGCGGAACTGTAATCTTGCGGTCTGGAGTTGTAAATTGTGGATGGGAAAATGTGGTGGCGGGTTATTTATTCACACGTACTGCACTGATCGCTTAGTAAAGTTTTAAGAATACAAGTTGGAAGGTAACTGTAATTTACAATTGCCGTTGAGAATGGACATGTCTGGCAGCCTCTGTGGGTGTGGGATGGGTGCTTGGTGATGCGTGATTGTTTGACACGTCTGATGTGTGCGATGACTGTGGTAGGAGGGGAACCCCTGCTCCGATGATTGTGTGGTCATTGCTACTTTTGTGCGAGTGGGATAAGCACGTTCCAAGGTCCAGGGGTATCGATTCCCCTAGTCTTGTGCATGTTTCGTGCTACTATCTTGGATATTGAAGGTCGTGCATTGTTACTGGGAGGAATGCCATCGGTGTTTGGTCTTCGCTTTCAGGACATGTAAGGCTGTATGATGGTTGCCCTTGTTCTTATGGAATCGATTCGTTGTCCCACTGGCATGAGCACTGGCCTGTGTGGTACTCAGTTTGGTGTGCGAAAATGTTTCTCTATTCAGCTGTAACAAGTGCTCTTGGAACCATGCGAGATGGTCGTCCATCACATGGCTCTCCAACCTGAGTGACCTTCGTGACGTCCTGATATGCACTGTTAAGGTGATTAATTTTGTGAGCAGTGGAAGTTCACACATTGTCACTGAGAGGAACGGTGCCAGTGGCATGGTCTTCGCTCTCGGATGATGTAGGGGTGTATGATGGTCGGCCTTGTTCTTATAGTAACATTTTTTATGCGTTTGGTTTTCATTTTTTCCACATTTTTTTCAAGTTCTTGACGATCTTTATCTTGCATTGTTGCGAACTTGTGTACATGATGTTGGACACTGGCCCTTGTTCCACTACTCACCAGATGTGAGAATGCCGAGTACATTCACCCCGTCATTTTCACATTTGGCAAGTGGTGAAATCAAGTCCCTTATATTCCGGTTGGCTTGTTGAAGTTTTTCGTGAAGGCCCCGCACAAACCACCACTTTGGACCAAAAAATCTCAACTGGCCATTCTTGTCTAGCACAGTCCGGGTGCCACCTCCATGCAATATGCTGCCTGCTTAAATGGCATAGCCGCCAGGGCGCTTATACACAAGCAGTCTGCAAACAGGCCCGCTTATGTGCCTGTGCATTTGTACAGGTCTTGTCTGGTGGAAATCATTTGTACAGTGGGCAGAACAACTTCCCTGGCAGGCCTGCTGGCGAGCAAGTATTCAGAGCATGATGAAAACAAGCAACTCGGGATGGTGATGGGGAATTACAGATCAGGTGGCTGCATCCGGGCCTGGTATGTGAGGTCTCGTCTACCCATCCCCCTAAAACAGAATGCATGTCGGCTGCCACCACGCTCCTTGGCAAATCACTCACCCGAGGTCTTCCCTTTTGAGAATAGAATGCACATGCGGAGTGGGGAGAAAGACATGTTTTGTAGATGATGCATTGCTTATGAGAAAAAAAGGAGTAGACGGCCAGAACTGGTATGGGTGAGAGGGGGGAGAAATGGTGTAGAGGAGTGGACGGGGGGGTGGGAGGTGATTGGAACATATACCGTTAGCGTGGCCTGACAAGGATGTGCTCTCTTGTGGTTTGTGGTCTTGTTTTTCTGTCCTCTATATGCGTGTGACCAAGCGGCTGGACTCTCCTTGCATAGCGGGTGTTCTTTGCGAAGATTCTGTGTAGTCACGCTGCGAGGGCCCGGGCGTTGCTGCCTTTGCTCTTGGTGCTAACTAAACAGTTTGGGCCCTTGGGCAGAGGCAGACACAGCTTCCGGACGAAGATGGCGAACTAATCTGAAACCTTTTGATTATGTTTCTCTTTGCTAAACGCAAGGGAAAGAACTCATCGTGGTGGTGGTGGTGATGCTCATGCTGATGTGTATCATGATGATGATATGATGATGGATGTTGGCAGTGGCTGTGCTGCCGCTGCTGTGGTCTCGATTCTTGTGTGGACGAGGTGTTATTCTGACAAAGCTGGGAGAGAACCCTTTCCTTCTCTCTGAGATCATTGTGTGCCATAGGCGAGTCGGATAGTCCGCAGGTAGTGAGGGAGGGAGAAGGTGTTGCTGTTGGGAATGTTGGTCACTTCCCCCATGCACCGGTGAAGTCGGTCAATCGATAGGTCTGTCTTTAGGGTGACCGGGAACGCCTGGATACTCTGCAATGCTGTGTGCAGGGAATCTTGCAAGCGTCTACTATGAGCAAGGGCACATCAATCTGGCGATTGATAATTACGGCAAAGCGATCCAATTGGACAGCACATTTTTGGAGGCATACAATAATCTGGTACGTATTTCACAGGTCTCAAGCCCAATAAGTTTGCCAAATCTGTTTCACCTTTCCATCGACAATTTCGTTTTCTTTGCTTGATGCAATCCATTGATTTTGCCAGGGTCTTCCAGTGGCCTACAAATTACAGGTCTCAAGCCCAATAAGTTTTGCAAATCTGTCTCACCTTTCCGTCGACAATTTCGTTTTCTTTGTTTGATGCAATCCATTGATTTTGCCAGGGTCTTCCAGTGGCCTACAAATTATTGATAGTGCCACACACACACACACACACACACACACACACACACACACACACACACACAGAATGGGGAGCATTTCAACAGGAATGTCCCCTCTGGTTTGGAGGTGGCTGGGCTTCATGCTGCAATGGAAAGAGTAACAACAGATGTCCGCTGTGGACTGGGGAAATTGTTTCGGGCAAGTCAGCATGTGTCACTGATGCATGTATTAGCAGAAATCTGTAGCTACCATCCATCATTCGTGGATGATGCCGCTTGTGATCCGTCGGCTTCCCGACCGGAGAGCTTGGTGATGCTTTTTATTGATTGGGAATGCTTGGAGAGCAGTTTCTGTCTGCAGGGAGGGCTATTGCATTGGTCACCTCGTCATGAGCTACTGCAGTCTAGCATATAGAGAAATGATGGAAGTGATGACCCTGGTTGTTTGGCAGAATACTCTAGATGAGTGAGGGCCAATGGAATCAGGTTCACGTACAAGGAACAGAACTGGAAAGTCTCAGGATGATAGTTTTGGCTGCAAAGGTTTCACTAGAATTCCTTGGCGTGCCTAATTTTGTTTTTGTACTGCTGTGCAGGGCAATGCACTGAAGGATGTGGGTCGCTCGCACGAGGCAACAGTATGCTATCGGGTATGATTCATTTTTCATGCAAAGCTGTGGGGACTAGTTTATATGGTCAAACTTAGATCATGTGGAGCAAATGTCAGATACTGCTATCTCAGTGTCATGTTAGGTGTGCGCCCTCTTTGTGTTCGCTGCTGCTTTTTAATGGGCTGTTGTGAGACAATTTGCAAGACAGCATGGAAACGTGGGTGGCGATTTGTCTGTTGTTGGGGAGACGTTGTCGGACAATGTCGGATACCATGGGGACATGATATGGAGTCTGCTTTGCCGTGCGGGGTTGTGGCGACTCGTCTGTCGTTGTTTAGACATTATGTGGAACAAATGTCAGAGTTGTGGCGAGTCGTCTGTTTGAGCTGGATGTTAGGTTTGCGGTTACTTCTTCTGTCGTATGGACCGACTTGAGAACGACATGAAGCCGGAGAGATAATAGTAGGGATATGGTTAGACCAAAAAGGACTGGCAGTGTTTTGATTACTCCCCACACCTGTTGGCATACACCCTGTCACTAAACAGGTGGGATAGGCCTCGACCCTCTGAGAGGGTCTAGGCCCATAGAACCATCTGCCATTTGCATGAGTCATATATCATTCGAACGGTTCGGTTCAGTACAGAGATACTCCATGTCTTCTGAAACCATCAATACAGCGGCGATAATTTCAGGCTCTTCGATGTGGGGAGTGCTAGTTTGTTGAGCCTAGCTGTCCACGTCCAGTGGCCGTACCCTTCAGTTTATCTCATGCCATACTGGTGGACCTTAGCCCTCTTTCCCCCTGTTGGCCATTTGCTGGATGTGATATGAGTTCATCCAGCCTTCCGAGGGCAATCATGGACTCTGCAGACTGTCCTTGAGGATTTCATCCAGCCTTCCGAGGGCGATCATGGACTCTGCAAACTGTGCTTGAGCTCCGTTTATCTCAAGGGTTGTGGGGAGAGGAAAGAGGAAGCATCAAGGTTGAAATGCGGGAGAGAGAAATGTGTTGGTAAGGAGAGGGCGAGCATGAGGCTGTGAGCTCTCCTCAAGCCCCAAAAGGCACAAATTGAGGATGGTTGGATGTCTATTGCAGAGAGGTGCGTGCAGTGACTGTGTGCTCTCCTCAAGCCCCTGGACCTCTTTTGTGCATGCCCTCATAAGAGTTTAGTTTTTTATGCTGCATGAAACTGGTCAGGGGAGAGTGGGGTCGGTTTTGTAAGGCAAGCCTGGTGGAGATCATAACTCTGCTGAGACGAGGGAAGGACATGGTGTGCAGTGAGAAGAGAGGCGGTGTTTGGATTCCTCTGGGGAGCAGTGTTGCACACCCCGACCGTCGGCGATCCTCGACTGGTCGACCCGCTGACCGGTCGGCTGGTTGGCACCTACTGGTTGGGGGTTGTCGGCACCCCGCAAAAAAAAAAAAAAAAAGTTCTTTTTCTTTTTTTTTTTGGGTCCAGAACCCCTAATAACCCCCAGACCAACCCCGAATACCCCAATA